GTGTGCGTGCGTGTGTGTGCGTATATATATATATTATTTTATTTTATTTTATTTTATTTTATTTTATTTTATTTATTTTATTTTATTCATGTATGTATGTAAGTATGTGTGTGTGTGTTTATGTTTGTGTTTGTGTGTGTGTGTGTGTATGTGTGTGTGTGTTTGTGTTTGTGTTTTGTGTGTGTTTTTGAATGTATGGTTTTGTATTTGCCCTTCATGTGTCATGCAGTATTTGATCGTCTAAATAGATTTGTGTGTATGTTTCAGGTATGGTTTTCTGCATAATGTTGTCATCTTGTACTTAATTGTAATGTAGGTGTGTGCATATACTTTGTATACTACATACGTATATATATTAAATATAATTAAACGCGTTGTCATACTTCTCTATTCTCATGTAGCTTTTGTGCATGTAGTTGGGTACAGTCCACCGCGCTATGTTATGTGCGAATTGTCTTGCTTGAGTAAGTTTGGCGCTCAACCTTTTCTGAGTACTATCTAAGCGGTCGAGTGTATCATTATCAGAATTGTTCTACGATTTTACAGTCTCCTGTTGACTACCGTAACGCGAAATTCATACACTCAAAAAATCTTGGAACCGCTATTTAACGACGCAAAAGTATTTTGGTTTCATTTCTGCCGAATTTGCCCATTAGGCCGTTCAAATAGGCCTTCAATCCGAAAGTTAATCTTTAACGAAAGTTCAAAGTCATTGGCTACTCCAACGCATATTTGCCCGAGCCTACCTTTGCATGTAACATATATACATGTCCGTGTGTGTATGCATGTGTTTACATGCTATAAAATTATGGCAAATTGCGCAGAGCTACCATTCCGGTTTTGACTTCTGAAAACTCCAACCTTCTTTTTGTGTAGCAATATTGTGGGCGTACATGCATAGATACATGCATATTACCAATATGGAAGCAATACGTACTGACATATATGTCACAAATGTAGAAGCAAATCGCGGTATTGCCCTAAATTGTGTACCATTTTTCAACGCAGCCAAAAAGGAGAAGGAAGGGAAATCTCCTAAGCCTTCTCCGAAGCCTGGGAAGAAAGAGAGTACCAAGAAAACCGGCAAGGACCACTCCACCAAGAGTAGCCTGGGCAATGACCTGCCCCACACGAGCACAGAGAAGGAGCCGAACCACAAGACTGTGGTTGTCGGTGGCTTCAAAACCGAGGTATGCGGCTTGTGACCGGGTGTGTATTTAAGTGTACGTGTATGCATGTGCCTGCACTTTTTCGTCACTTGTGTTGCGCGCGTTTGGTCAAGATCTTTTTTTGTAGCAAGTTTTGTCGAGTAGTGTTCGCTATGTATGTCCAACAACAACAACTAAGGAAAATTGGGCCGGCCCGAACTCTGTACGAAGGGAGAATGAACTGAATATATCAGCTGTATACTTTGGGGCAAATCTGATGTAGTATATGTAGTACTGCATGGTCCGCTCTTTCCATCTGCGCTATATTTAACAGCAAGCGCACATATTCCAGCACATCCGCATGTCATCTTCCAAAATACGACATCCGCAATAGAAACCCCCACGTTTTTCGCGACACATGATGCATCGGAATGTTCAGTGTTTGTTCTGTTTTCCTTTGTACGAAATATCCATTTACAGGTTTTGGGAACAGCTGACGAGCGCGATGTGCTCTTCCAACCGGGGCGCCTGATTGTTGATCTGATCGCCGCCCGTGACTTGTGTGACAGGGCCAAGAGTCCGTATGGGCTGGCCTCATACGAACATAATCAAATCCTCTTGCCCGTACACAGCGGCAAAAATCCGGTCTGGGCCGCCCAGGCTGTATTGTATGTGTTAAGGGGTTTTCCAAGTGTTGTCCTCTGAAGCTTCTTCTTGTTCTTCTTGTGATCGATGCTATGACGCGATGTTGTCCATCCCTACGCTGTGTTGTGAGCACACTTTGTAGTATACTTCGCCGGCATGTATCTCTCGCTGGTCCCATAAAGCATGTTGTCTGCTGTACCGTCGCTACTAACCTTATGCTGGGAGTATGTTTGTCTCGGCATTACTGTATCACTTACTTCTGTGAGCTCCTCTCCCCTTCCAACAGTGATATTGTAAATAGCAACTATCAATTAACGATTCATATCCTGGAAAAAGCTGAGACGCAGAACAATTTCCTTGGAATGTTGCACATCCTCCCCTCATGGGTCCCCAATGTATGTCACTCTGCTTGACGTTGATTGACTGTCGTGCTATTCCCTTGTGTATGCGGTTCTACGTCCTGCGGGATTACCTTTATGTAATTGCACCCGTGTTCAGCGTCTGCCGAACTGGATGTGGTTCCCGCTGTAGCCCTATCCCTATGTGTGGCCTCTAATGTAATTTCTTTGGGTGTGTGCAGTGTGTTGTGGGATTTTCTGGATAGTTGTCCTTGTCCTTTGCATTGGTAGTGGGTTTACCGACAAGTGTGCTGCACTTCAGGATGTACCAGTGATGTTGCTAATGCTCCCAGTCTGTAGGGAGAGGCCAGCACGCTATATATATGGTTTTGCAGTGTGTTTTGGTGGTGCACGCGTTCTGAGCCTATCATGTAACAGACAATAGTACCTGCATACAACGCACAGGGGGGGAAAGGTACCTGTGTGTTATTGCACTCAATCTATCAGCAGCATATTTGGTCACTTGGACAGACAGACACTCATCATCAAACCATACTGCCTTCTATCGCGATCCAACCTATCCGTAGCAACCGTATGAGAACTGGTATAACCTGCAAGGAGACGGGGAGATGGAGGTATCTGGGCAGGCCCATGTACGTGTGACCTTTAAGAAAGCGGACACCCGCAAGTTGACTGTGGATGACTTTGACTTGCTCATGGTCATCGGCAAGGGCAGTTTCGGAAAGGTTCTGCAGGTCAAGAAGAAAGATACCAATCGCATCTATGCCATGAAAATCTTAAAGAAGGTACGCGTGTTGTGTAGGGTATTAGGGTATATCATTGCTTGCCACAGGGGTAGGTGCACTGGTGGCTACCTAGATACTGCCATGTTTTCGTATCCTACAGTCGGGTGGATTCGAATAAGGGTGTGCATTTGTTGCATAGTGGCCACCCGCCTCTCCGCTGTGTGTCTATACTTTCTGTACATACGCGAGATGAGTGTCCGGCTTCTCAATGTTTCTCTCGTATAGCTTGAATAATCTCTTGCCGTGCGTCCGCATGCAAACTATTTTAAAATACATATTGTTCCGAGGAACCAGTTGGCCTCTCAGTCACCTCTCCCCCTCTCTTCCTCTCTCCTCCAAAATATTCCCTCTTTTACCTTCTATTGCGCTGGTAGTCATATCGCTCGTGTGTAGCAGACTCGGAATTGAATTACTATTTCTTTATGTAGTATATAGTACATGTGTTTAAGATGTCTTCTCGGAAAATCATTCTACAGGGTCATTTGATTGAGCGAGATGAGCTGGAACATACCAAATCCGAGAGAGCTATCCTGGCGAAAAATAACAACTGTCCCTTCCTGGTTGGTCTTAAGGTATGTGCTTCTTTTATGCTCTCTAAATGGATACTATTGACGTGTATGTGTGCATATTTGAAGAATATGAATGGAATTGTTCTGTATATGCGTGTATACACTATTTCGCCATGGGATGAGCTCTTGTATGTAAAGCTCTAAGGTATGTACATATACATACATATGCATAAACATATATATGTATGTATATGTATGTGTGTGTACATATATTATATATACATGAATACCTTTTAGCAGTTTTGATGTTTTATTTCGGTCGTGGGCATGTTTTCAGATGGGTGCGTGTGTGCTGATCTATGCACTGACATGCACCCTGATATATCTCCCGCCATGCAAACCATTCATCTAAGACTGTATCAACCCTAACTCTTTGCTGTGTCTCCGCTCCAGTTCTCGTTCCAAACGCCGGAGAAGTTGTATCTTGTGCTCGATTACATCAACGGAGGAGAGCTCTTCTTCCATCTCCAAAATGAAGGCACATTCAGGTATGTTACTATGTGCCTATAGACGGTCGCATGAGTCCTTCGTATTCTACGATGTCTCGCTCTCGTGGTAGTCTCGACTGAAGCGCCGAGGTTCTGGAGACAAGTCGGGTCAATACTTACCGAACATGTGCTCGATTGTTGCGACGATAAGAAACCCTTCAGCTGGCTTCTCTATGCGACTGGCATCATTCACTGCATCAGACTTTAGAGCCTTCCTTGTCGGTGTATACTCGTGACTTGACACATGACCAACGCATACCGGGGCTTGTCGATCTTTGATTTCGCTCTCCACATGATTTACACACACCTGAGAGAAAATTATGCGAGCATCCGAATTCAGAGCCATTCCTGATCATCCCATCTAAATATTAATTCATTCCTTTAGCGAGAATCGGTCTCGATTCTATGCTTCTCAGCTTGTGCTGGGATTGAAATACCTGCACGAGAACGATATCATCTATCGCGATCTCAAGCCGGAAAATATTCTCATAGACTTTATGGGTTATATCTGCTTAACAGACTTCGGTAAGCATAAAAAAGTGCATGCGTTGTGGACGTCTTTGCTATGAACGTATTTTTTTCTGTAATAGTCATCGGTAAGCCTATAGTCCCAAGTCTCTTACAATCTATGCGTTATCTGAATAGATGGCATGTTGGCAGTACCATGTCTTCATGCAACGTTATGGATTCCAAGGTGACCCTGTATGATCGTCATGTTGATGCCCACACCCCTGCTGCAAGATAGTGCAATAATCATCCACATGACCATTCAATGCGATCTCTCGCTTTTTACTTCCCGTTCAGCATTCTTATCGCAACGAATGCATATACAGCGGATGACGTGCATAGTCAAACTGTAAGTCATATCGGAGGATGCGTACCGGATCTGAGTTTTTATCACCGAACCGATGTTTACTTATCTATTTGGCCCTTTAACCGTTTGTCCTCTGCGTATAGGTCTTTGCAAGGAGAACATTAAGTGGGACGACATCACAAACACATTCTGTGGCACACCCGAGTATATGGCACCTGAAGTACTGCAGCAGAAAGGCTATGGCCCTGCCGTAGACTGGTGGACCATTGGTAATGCAAACCCTCCATTGCTAATTATGTTATAGTAGATTCTCTTCAGATTGTACGGGTATTTTGTGCTATGGCTGTATGTCGTATATCGCTTATATATAATACTTATTCTACACGGCGTTAGGTATCAGGCTTTTTGTAAATGTGTGTGTGTTTGTGCATGTGTATGTTTATGTTTATCTGTACGTGTATGTGTACGTGTATGTGTATGTGTCTATATATATATATATATGTGTGTGTGTGTGTGTGTGTGTGTGTGTGTGTGTGTGTGTGTATATATATATATGTATATATATCTACATGTGTGTGTGTGTGCGTGTGTGTATGTATGTATGTATGTATATATATATATATGTATATATATATATGTATGTATGTATGTATATATGTGCGTGTATACATGTGTGTGTGTGTATGTGTGTGTATGATGTATATATATGTATGTATATGTATATGCATATGTATTGAATAAGCATATCTGGCTAGGATCGTACAACAAAGACAGGGATAGATCAGTGCGTGGCCAGTTTTCCGGTCCGGAGAGTACAAACTCATTCGCTGTACAAACTCATTCATGTGTTGAAAGTACGATTTGTCTAACCACGTCGTCGGCGGTAAAACTGGACTTTGATTTCGATCAGCTTTCTCCGCAGGGGAACTCCGTGTGGGCAGTTGATATTAAGTTGTGAGAACCGCGTGATATCTAACACAAAGTACATACTTTCAGCGTGTTAGTAGTTGTGTATCTTTTCTAGGACAACAAGGTTCCTGGTTCCTTCACACATGATCGACTAGCCTCGCCCGTTTGCCTGCCTGTACTAATCTTTCGCTTCTCTATTTGTATGGGTCAGGTGTGTTACTATACGAAATGATCACTGGCCTCCCGCCATTCTACGATGAGAACACTAATCAGGTACGTCAGTTGCTACCTGCCGTCAGAAATGTACCATCCCGTGTAATCTACAGAGCCGTACTACAAAGTTTTAATTCAAGCTTGTATTTTAGATTAGTATTCGTCAAATCCAAAGGAAAGTTTATCGCAGGAACGGCAGCGATGCCATCTTGTGCTTCGTATCCTCACTTTTCGTTTTATTCATATCCCATAATTCAGATGTACCAAAAAATCCTATTTGCTGATTTGAAGTTTCCGCAAGGAGTTTCGAGGGAAGCCACTAGTATTATTAAGCAGGTATATCTTCACTCATACGATCGGTATATCTGTATGTCGATCGCCTGTGATATTGTTTACTAAGTTGTTGCGTAATCTCTTTGCCTGTAAAGTATGAGATTGTTCGAATGGACTTTATGCAAATCTTTCATTGTTTCATGACATTGCGAAGGAATCCACGAGGTTTCAAAAGCGCCTCCAAGTAGTGAGAGTAAGCCCTGTTGTACATACAGTATTATGCCAGTGCGCATATATTGTATATACGAATCTTCCATTGTTTCAAGACATTGCTAAGGAATTCACGAAGTGCTAAAAGCGCTTTCAGGTACGTGAGAGTAAGCTCTCTTGTATATACACTCCAAATATGCCAGTGCGCACGCCAAAATCTATATTGCATATAAAATTATACATCATTCGTATACATGCAGCTGTTGGTCAGAAACCCTCAAAATCGTTTGGGGTATGGCGCAACCGGTAGTCAAGACATTGTTGATCACGAATTCTTCGCTGTTATCAACTGGGACGATATGTGGAACAAGCGTCTAGTAGCTCCCTGGCGTCCTCATCTGGTATGTTAAGTATGCTAGCTTACCCCTGGGCAGTTCGTATAAATGTCCCTGCTATGGGTATTCAGATACCCATTCGCATTTGATTCCCATCATTAGTAGTATAGTAATACATTGTGCTGCAAGTAACATATACGCACGAAGTGTATGCAAATGAATTACTTGAAGCACGTCGACGACGTAGTGTGTATCACATCGTATTGTTATATAAGCTGACCCGCTGACAATATATGTATACGTCTTCATGATGCAGGAGGATCAACTAGACACCAAGAACTTTGACGAAGAGTTTACTGCGTTGCCGGCTCAAGACACACTTGTGACGGAAGCACCTATCACGAACACCATGCAGGCGGAGTTCAAGGGTTTCACGTACTCGGACACTAATGAATATCTAGAGAACTAGTCGCGACCGTTCATCCTTTGAAGACTGTGTGCTAATGTATGAACGGTAGAGGATACTGCAATAAACTGTAAAGCTTATCTTCCCCTCCTTGTATTTGATATGTCGTGCGCGATGTGCTGCCTTGTTTTGGGTTGGGTTTGTGTTATGTCAATAGTCAAACTATGCGTGCGCACCTCCAACACCTATCATTGACAGTGCGATTGTATAGGAGTTGTCAAATACGCCGAAACACGCAAACGCTTCCCAGCCTATCCCTGCACGCCTTTGGCCTCTGGATTCGTCTTGTTCCCCTTCCGGATTAAAGCGAAATGGCGAGGAGCAGCTCTCTGTGCGAGTCTTCTACAAGCACTAGATACTGATTTTCAGCTTCTACCTAAAGTACAATATCACGACAACTATTCGATGCAATGCCAGACCAAATAACCTATTTCCTCACGATCATCAAGTGTATATGATGCTATTTACAATATAAAAGCATGACGCTATTTACGATATAAAAGTTACAGATCTGTATTTTGAATATAATACTACTAAATTGATTACAAGAGCTTGATAGACCCTATGCTACTTTACATAGAGCCGGAGACCTTGAAGGCAGCGGGCACGTTGTTCTCCACCCACTCGAAAACGCTCTGATCTGTTCCATAAAGAGAAACATCCTCCTGCTCCATGAAGGACATGGGAGAGGTCGCTGTGATGGTGAGAGCTACCCTAAATTTGTCATCGCCGGAAACCAGAATACTGACAGGATTACCAAATTCATCCAAATTAAGTGTTCCATAGTGCTCGGCATTGTCTCTTGCCATACGCTCTCTGTACATCACTCCCAAGTCATCCATCTTGATACTAATGAATGGCAGCCCCGTGACATACCGTAGCACATCCTCAGCTACATCTTGCACAAACTGACCGACTAAGGGGATGGACGTATTATGGTAGGGCTGTGCATGCACATTGGCTTGGTGGAACATGTATGGGTCCCAACGTTGTTGCAAGAGAGGAATAGTGCTAGATTTGGCTTCACGATTGATGGCATCTGCCCCAGTCCACACTTGACTATCATTACATGGAGCTCCGTATGTCGTCCAATAGCAGGCACCCTCATCATAAAAGCGAACCACACAATCCAAATCTTTGCAATTGAAGGGTATATTGGGACTCCAACGAGGTATAATAAGGATACCATCAGTGCCGTACTCTTCTTCTGTGCTGACCACTGCGTGATACATGACCTCGGCATTCAATTCAGGCCTGCTGTTGTCACCGACAACGTTTTCGATTCCGTACTCGACCAACTTGGAAAAGAACAAAGTGTTCCTGAGGTATGGTTTTCGGCCTACTGGTGGTGTCCCGTTATAAGATGCTGGCCACAGACCAGTAATCTCGGGCGTTACCAAAGACTTTGGCGAGTAATTATTTTCCATTAATTCTGTGCGGTTGTCTAGGAACTGGTGAGGCGGGGTGGCAATTTGTCCGTAATACAAATCAATATATTCGTCAGAAGCTATACCCTCGCCCCTGGCGACCTTTTGATTGTAGCCAAGCTCAGCATCGTAATGCTCAGGAAGAGGATTACACTCTTTATGCTTACCATCACACTGCCAGTCCTCCAGCCAATCCATATTCATGTGGGTCCAAGTGTGAGACATCCAATCGAACTCGGCAGCGTACTCATACGATGCTTCATTCAACGACGTATCCTCGTAGCCGGACATACCTAGACCAGCACCATTGTAAGCAGGTTCCAATTTGAAGTTAGATCCAGCAGGCAATACGTTCTCGATGAAGTCTTTTCTCCACGCCACATATGTTTCTACATCACTACTGTTGATTTTCCAAGCTTCATTTGTGTATTTGATTCCTGAGTTAATAAACCAATCATCGACATGTATATTCATGGTCAACCGACGGTACCCGAGGAACACTCCCCTCGTAACCCATTCATACCAACTATGTCCTAGTGCTAAATTCATTTGTGTGTATTCGGTAGATAAGGTGTAGAAGGGCACAAAATTCGCCCCAAGTCCGGCCTGGTTCGCATGAAAACGAAAATGCATCTCTTCAGTTCCTAGAGTAGTATTGGCAACAAACGCGGCTACCGCGGAATCAGCGGAGATCGTTTCATAATCATACACCAGAAAGGGGGTAGTCATGGTTGTGTTCACAACCGAGACGGCTGAAGGTGCGGTCTCAGACACATTCCAACTTGAAGTCGTGTTCAAAACACCGGCCAATTGCCTAGCGTTGTCTGAATCCGCTACCGTTATATTTTGAAACGATGGGTCAAAAAACATATCCTGAACACCCAGAACAGTAGAATCATTGGCATCTGCAGTTGATTGCAAAAATACAAGTCGTGCACGAGTTCGTGCGGCGTACTCACGAACCCAAGTTTGATTCACATCGCTATCAGCTACTACTATCGAATGCCAGCCATGACCAGCCAAGTCGGGTTGTGCACCAACAATGACATCAAATGGTGAACCATATCCTTGAACTACATTCTTTGGTAGAATGACAGAGTCGGATGTTGAACCAACAATTAAAGTTCGCAAGCCTAACGTACTCCCAGTACTGGCCTCGTTTGTGGAAGTATCTGTTTGTAACAAGGGTAGCGCAATCGCTTGCGCAGCAGCTAATATGAAAAGTGTTATTTGCAACATGATTGGCATACAGGATATACCAAATTATGATTGTGCTTATATTATATAATGAATCTATTTAGTTGGATTCACCCATTATATATATAATCATAAATTTTGTTTTAGTAGACTCTCTCACAAACCCTCTCTTGTTGTGTGAGAGAGTTTGTAGTCGAAATACCAGGAGTAGGTAAAACGGAAGCTTCGTGTCAACTTTTAGGTTACGAATGACGTCTCTACTTAGTACTCAGTTGCAAAGATGAACTTGGAGGCAGGAGCTGTTGGAGCAAACTACATACATGTGGCAATTTTGTGCACAATATGCCAAATAAGCGAACGGCGGAGCTGATGTTAATTTCCTAAAGAGTGATCTAACCATGTGATCAATTTAAAAAATGTCTCGTTTCTTAAATCACCCAATGGAAACTATCATACATATATATATTTCATACCTGGCAGATAGAAAAGTTTAGAGTAGAGCTGATCTGCACTCTGAAGGGAAAGAGAAAAAAATATAAAGCCAATTAAAAGCCATATAGGTTTCCAGCTCCCAGAACTTTTTTTTTGTTCCATGTTAAAAATGACCGAATCTCGTATTATCTACTCTTGGAGTCTTCTTGGCAGTTATCTTTTTTGTTGAAGTAAATGTACTCGATATTTTGGTTTGCGTTTTTTCAAACGTGTAAATTTGGAATATTTGTACATATACGTTCTTTATTTTAAATGTGTTCTCATTCCGTTACTGAGGAAACTTGGTTCTTGGTGCTCCATGCGATAGGAACTGCGAGACTGCGAGACTGCGAGTCGAGTTGTGAGTTGTGAGACTTTGTCTATACGACACCCGTCACTATAAAAATTTTAATGCCTGACTCGAGTATTCCTATGTACATATATGGACCGAGCAATTTTTTATTTATTTTTGGAATATATGTTCCCAAAAACAATTGCGGTTAATGCAATCACAGAACAGGACAAAATCCCTTGGACCTGAAATTTACAACATAACGGGACAAACCCAAATTCAACTTTGTTGAACTACAGTGCAATAGTGCAAACCAAAAACCAAACGATCATATTTTACATAGTCGTCTTTTCTTCTTGTAAATAAATACAATTTAGAAGAAGGCTATGAAACGATATTTTTTATATTTTTCAGAAGTATGGATCTACGAATTCACGCTCACAGGTTTAACACAACTTTGGCTCTCTCTAGTCTGAGGCGTTGAATTCTATTTCAGGTGATAAGTGTAGATTATGTACCGAAAACTGATACTTGACCGTTGTATCTGTACGACGTTTAATAGTTCGGTACTTGGATGCAAAGTCGCCTTACGTGGGCCCATAAATATCGACCCTACATTTGCGAATGGACCGGGTGCTGTTTTGGACATGGCTCAGGGTGTTAATAGTTTTATAGATAGACAATGTCGTTCGACAATGTCGTTCGACGTTACTTTTGTTTTATTTCACCATTTGTGTCCTACATAAACGTTTTTTTTAATAAAAATTGTATACGAGAGATGGTACAAAGTACATATTGTGTGCAATAAATACACAATTTGACAATATAGAGTATTTATAGACTACAGGCAGGTCAGAGTCTCACAGTCACAGCCTCAGGAGGCGTAATTTGTTTTCTTTTCTTTTGCTTTTGTTTCAAAAAACCAAATAACAAGATGTATAGGAGCCGTAAACCAAAAAAATTGGCTTTAGAGATGGGAGATTATTACTATAGAGGTTGACCCAGAGGTACCTTAAAAAATCAATCTCATTGACAGATATACAACTTAAATTCTTCATATTGACGAGTAATAAACATACGCTTAATCTCGTCTCGATCGGACTATTGGCTCAAAAGTTATGAAGTATTTCATTTTGTACCAAAACTGGGTTAATCTAGCCACACGTAAGCGTTATACAAGTCCATCCATACCTAACAGACCCTTCTGGCAATATAGCATGCCACTTTAATGGTCTATGGGGGGGTATATGTGCGCGTATAGCGAGTCTGAACGTGTACTTCGAGTACCTCATATTCTATCTAGTACCTTTTATACCAGTGAGGATATGAGGTACCCAAAATACAAGTCCAGGCTCGCTTCACACGCATATATAACCCCCCATATACTATTAAAGTAGTATGCTATGATGCCAGAAAGGTCTGTTAGGTATGGATTGACTTGTATAACGCTGACGAGTTCTGGTACGAGATGGAATACTTCGTAACTTCAGAACCAATAGTCCGTTCGGTATGAGATTAATCGTATGTTTATTACTCGTCAATATAAAGGATGAGTTTTCTAACTACCAATGAGATTTATTTTTAAGGTACCTTGGGTCAACCTCAATAGTAAAAATCTCCCATCTCCTAAAGCCAATTTGGTTTGTTCACCACTCATATTATCCTACGGAGTACGGACATTTTTTTAGTCCGTTCATCAATCTGGGTTTTCTTCCTTTTTTTTTATCTATAAAGTAGTAGTAGAGAGGTCTGAGAGGGTCATTATATTTAAAATAGTCATACAATGAACAAGATGTACATTTAACAACAGAAGTGCTTTATTGTTCTGTTTACTATTTTTTTTAAAAGGTTATTTTATTTATTTTTTAAGTAAAATAAGTATATATATGAAAACTAAAAATTTCATATTAAAAACATGAACACTTCAGCCTCTTCTTTCTTGTTGTGTCATGTGTGTGTGACTGTGAACTGTGAACTGTGAAGTACAGATACGGCGTGCGGGTATTTCTAGAATTTTACTTCCTAAAAGAGTTCCGGTTTGCGAATCTTGATTCTCAAAACCAGCAGGGGGGGGAGGGGATTTCTTCTTCTTTTTTTGTTAAAAAAATAAATCAGTATTCTCAAAGACTCATAACTCAACAGTCTCAACCTGTGTGAGGTCACTGAGGTGTGAGCACTGAGCACTGAGCACTGAGCACACCAGGTCACCAGCCGGTTGCATTTGTTTTGTTCTTTTTAAAACAAAACAAAAAAATACTCAGTAAATAAAAGAAAGAACCCATAATAACAAATAAGCAAAGTGCGAATGTTTACACAAAAAGTCAAAAACAAAACTAAATATTATATTTATAGAAAAAAGATCACAGAAACTCACACGACTCACAGAGTCAACTACAGAGTCAACTTGAACTCACACTCTCAGTCTCAGACCCCAGTGATCTCAGTGAGACTGTGAGACTCAGACACTCAGTCTCTAATCTCTACCACAGACCAGTTGACATTTTCTCGCGTCAGACGTCAGCCTCTCAGCTCTGCTCTCACTCTCACACTCGCAGTGACACAGACTCTTTATAATTTCTCTTTTTCGTCTATGTTTAAAAAAACAAATCAAACAGAGAAAGCAAATGGCTCATCACAGGTTTCAACTTTCAAGAGACACAATACTTTCTTTTTCATTTTTTTTAAACAATAAATACTTTTTTTTTAAATAGCGAACATGAAAAAAATATAATAAAACATACAAGTTGGAAAATGGAAATCGGACGGGCCGAAACACATGAGACTTGCAGTTGCAAGGGCTATAAATTTTTATTTTTTGATTTCTTGACTATTGACATTTATGTATCGTAAATCGTCGGCCTGTCGGGATTCGGGGAGTCGGGTGCGAGCGAAGCGAGCAAAACAAGAATAAATAACGCCATTCTCTGTTCTAAAAATTGTCTATAGAAATAGATACAAATTCCACAGGCCACCGGTCACGCCCACGCACACCGGTCACGCAAAGCCTTCTAAATAGAACAAAGGGGTTATGAGTCACGGTCTCACGGTCTCACGGTCTCACTGTCTCACGCCGCTAAGCTCTTTTATGTTATGTGTATGCTGAATAAAAATTGAACTTTAACGCCTATTTTCATGTTCTATAAACTTTAAAGCGGTTATGTAGCTCAAATATGCCCAACGAAATTTCAAAAATTGCACTTTGAATGTGCACCTAAAATCCAAGATATGGGCTAAATTGAGAGTGTCGACCAATCAAAAGCTCGCCATGATTTTGATAACGCCTATCCCAATTCCCAACCGACGGCATGTTTTAACTTTTGACTACAACTTTGCACCTGCTGATTTAACAACAAACTGATTCCGCAAATATCAAGTGGATTGTGATTTTGATCGTATACGGTGCCAATTCTCATATAGGGGCGAGAAGTCGAGAATTGAGAAATGAGTTGTGGACTTGTGGATACTGCCGGAAAGTGAAATCAAACTGAATATAATAGCCAATAGAAAATAGGAACTTGGAGCCCGGTCATATTTGGCGCGCTCAACAGCCTCAACTGGGGACAAATCTGCGGACCTAGAAATTACACCCCATCTGAAATCCATAGGACCATGTATGTAATAAAAATTGAACTTTAACGCTTATATCGGCATGTAATAAAAGTTTAACGGTTAACGCATTAAGCTTAGTCTCACGGTCTCACGGTCTCACGGTCTCACGGTCTCACTGTCTCACGTTCTCAAGGTCTCACGGCCTCATGTCCTCGTCTCCTCCCGAGGCAATGGATTGCGGGCTCAGGTTTTAGGATAAATAGACAACCTCTGAAGATCGCTACCCTGCAATAGGGATAATATAATCTATGGTAAAAATAGCTTCTATCAATATGTTGAAGTTGGGAAACTCATCATTATCTCTGCTGTAGGGGCACCCCACTCTCTCGTGGGTCACCCCTATCAGCGGCATATAATCAATATGGTCAGGATAGGCATAATATTTTTTATTTTAAAAATGGCAAGTATGCATGATACAATGTATGAACATATGGTATGGCTCTCATAGTCGCTGTAGTGGTTCAGGAAAGATTGATGGGAAGAAGTGGTCAGTAAATTCCCGTTTGAAGCTTGGGCCAAGTGAGTCGACAATGGAAGATATGTGCTGAGTCAATTCGGGCAGGTGTTGACAAAACACTGTTACTATCGAATCATGGAATCTGAGACACGGTCAGAAGAGGAGTGTAACGACGTCTGTCTAGACATAACCAAGGCATACGACAAGGTCGCTCTCCCACGCCTATGGGTACTTCTACGTCACACTGGAA